GCGCTTGACGGGCCAGAGCAGGTATGGTGACGGTGTCTGCATCTGCAGCCGGGTAGAGACCGTGGCAGGGTGTGGAGCAGGCATGATTCTAGGTGGGGAGCGGGCTGGGACAAGAGGATCAAGTGGGCCGGAGTTAGGTGGACCAATCCAAACTGGGCCTTGCCTGAGCCCGGATTTGCTGTGTCAGCGCCGCCACCGGCGAGTCCGGCAGGGGCTGGGTAGAAGTGGAGTGTGGAGAGATAGGATAAGTCACAGTAGACCGTATGCCAGTCCTTAATGCTGGCTCTGTGTAGTAATAACACTTTGGATGTATATGGCGCTTGCCACAATGCGCAGCACTCCGGTGTATACGGTTTCTTTATCCTCCTAAAACTCTTAGAAGGTAGTTGGTATCTGCATCCTGACATTTTGGTCTTGGGAAAGGGAGAGAGAAAAGGGAGGGAGGAATTAGGGATTTCTCCTACCCAGAGCTGCCTGGTGACAGGCCTTATGGAGAAGTGCCCTGAAAGTGGCTTTATCTCTTGGATGTTTATCCTCACATTCAGTAACTACACTGTGTCTGTCTTCAGATGGAACTGGAAGAGGGAAAAGCAGGCAGCGGACTCCGTCAATATTATCTGTCCAAGATTGAAGAACTCCAGGTAAGAACAAACTGGGTGGCAGGGTGAGGGGAGTTGGAAGGGAAGAGAATTGAGAGAACCACAGTTCTATATAATTCCATCAGGAATGCAGTGGAAGAAGCTATTTTCCTAGTTTTTTTTTTTTTTTTTTTTTTAGTTTTCAGAAAAGTGCAAGAAGTAACAAGTCGTTTAAAGTATATCACATAAGCCAGTCTCTTGTTTTCTTTAAGCCCCTCCTCTGTGAGGACAGGAGTATTCACAAATGTTACTTTTCTGCAAGTGTGAAATTTTAATAGAAAAGGAACCACTAGGGCTGGGGAGTGGCTCAAGTGGTAGCGCCCTCGCCTGGCATGCGTGCAGCCCAGGTTCTATCCTCAGCACCACATACAAACAAAGATGTTGTGTCCGCTGAAAACTAAAAAATAAATATTTAAAAAAAAAATTCTCTCTCTCTCTTTAAAACAAAAGAAAGAAAAGAAAAAGAAAAGGAACCACTAGCCTAAGGCTGTAGTTTTTGGAAGAAGTGTAAATGCAAGGAATTCTTATAAAATGGAAGGCATATGCCCAGGATATCAGGAAGTTTGGGGCAGGTGAAACTTTAGGAACTTGAGGAAGGACAGTATTGAGAAGTCTGGACAACACTGATGTCATGGGGACTGAGTGAAAGGAACAGAGCAACCCAGTGCTCTATATTAAAGAGCTAAACCAGAACCAGCATGATGGTGGACAACTGTAACCCCAGCAACTCAGGAGGCTGAGGCAGGAGGATTACAAGTTTGGGCCTCAGCAGTTTTGCAAGAACTTTCTCTCAAAAGAAATGAAAAGGACTGGGGATATGGCTCAGTGGTAAAATGCTGCTGGATTAAATCCTTAGCTCCCCACCACCACAAAAAAAAAAAAAAAAAAAGCTAAGCAAGAGAAATAGGTGGGATAGAGGGGCACGAGGACAATTTCCAAACTCCAGGTACATTTGCAGATATTGTATTTGGTTTATCATTTATTATTGCTTCTACATGTGATTTTATTTGTTCTTCAAGTAGTCTTGAAATGAAGCAGGTTTGTTAATGCTGTGCAGTTTGGTGACAGGTTAATAAATTTATTTATTTTTTTATGTGATGCTGAGGATCGAACCCAGTGCCTCACACATGATAGGCAACCACTCTACCACTGAGCCACAACCTCAGCCCCTGCTTTACCTTTTAATTGACAGTAGCTGGGCTAGAATTAAGGCCTCTCACTTAAAGTTGTCTTTTGCTGGGTGCAGTGGCTTATGCCTGTAATCCCAGCAAACAGAGATTGAGACAGGAAGATTGCAAGTTCAGAATCAGCCTCAGCAATTTAATGAAGCCCTCAGCAATCTAGCAAGATTCCATCTCAAAATAAAAAGGACTGGGCCAGGCACAGTGGTGCACACCTGTAATCCCAGCAACTTTGGTGGCTGAGCCAGGAGGATCGCAAGTTCAAAGCCAGCCTCAGCAAATTAGCAAGGCCCTAAGCAACTCAGACCCCATCTCAAAATAAAAAGGGCTGGGGATCTAGTTAAGTGGTTAAGCACCCCTGGGTTCAATCCCTGGTACCAATAATAAATAACAAAGCTCTCTCCATTGCCTCTTCAAAAGAAAGTCACTACACAAGCCAGCTGTAACTTTTCTCTATTAGATTCTTTTTTCCTGGACCAGTATTACACAACCTTTTGTGGTGGCTGCCCTAGACTCCTAAGGGACTCTTGGAGGACTGAACAGGGTCATTAGGATCCTACTGGAGAATCTGAAATAACATGCAGGTGATTTTCCCATGGTTCACATCTGCCTGTGAGGGTCTTGGCCAAGATCCTGCTGTTGCTCTGGGGTAATGGAATTTGTCTCTTGCCTTCCACAGCTGATTGTGAATGATAAAAGCCAAAACCTCCGGCGGCTGCAGGCACAGAGGAATGAACTAAATGCAAAAGGTGAGGGGGGATATAGGGAAAGCTACATGTATGTGGTTTGAGGTGTGGCTGTTCCTAATCTCCTTGACCTGCAGACTCAGCAGTTCCATTTCCTTCCCTTCCATGGAGATGCTGCCCACCGTCATTATGTAGTTGTTTTCTGTGTACATCTCTCTCAAGAGTTCTGATGTAAACCCCTTCAAGATGTGAATTTTATCTTTTTTGACTGTGACCTTCCCTTCAAAACTTTTATTAAAGTATTACTTGGTTTGTGCATGTTGAGTTTGAGTTCAGGGGAGGGGAAGCAAGGTCACCACTGTGTCTTTTGCCATCTAGTTCGCCTATTGCGAGAGGAGCTACAGCTGCTGCAGGAACAGGGCTCCTATGTGGGAGAAGTAGTTCGGGCCATGGATAAGAAGAAAGTGTTGGTCAAGGTAAAAGCAGAATGGGACCAGCATGTTGTCCACTGCACTCCCACCCTTTGTATGAAGCCTTGGGAAGACAGTGTTCTATCATGTTATTCTAGGAATCCCATGGGTCTTCCTGGGTGAGGTTGGTGAGTTGGTGGCTGTCAGGGAAGGTCATGAGCCCCTGTTTCTTCAGGTACATCCTGAGGGCAAGTTTGTCGTAGATGTGGACAAGAACATCGACATCAATGATGTGAGTGGAGCTGGTGAGGGTAGGGGTGGTCAGTTCCTAGGGCACTACTTCCTGAAACTTGACCCTTCCATTCAGGTGACACCCAATTGTCGGGTGGCTCTAAGAAATGACAGCTACACTCTGCACAAGATCCTACCTAACAAAGTGGACCCTCTGGTGTCACTGATGATGGTGGAGAAGGTGCCAGATTCAACTTATGAAATGATTGGTGGGCTGGACAAACAAATCAAGGAGATCAAAGAAGTGATTGAGCTGCCAGTGAAGCACCCTGAGCTCTTTGAAGCACTGGGCATTGCACAACCCAAGGTGAGGCTTCTCCTGGAGATGGGCTATCCTCCCTCCTCTCTTGGCTGGGGGAGAGGTTTCTAGGCCACTAAACTGGTTTGGATATAAGCTCTGAAGAGACCTTGATATTTATTTTTTTGTATCTCCAATCTCTAGTAAGTGAGCAGATACAAACCAGCACTCACTAAACGTTCACTGAGTTAGGCTGGCGTTCTGCCCTGAATCCTGCTATTTCCCCCAGGGAGTGCTGCTGTATGGACCCCCAGGGACAGGGAAGACACTGTTGGCCCGGGCTGTGGCTCATCATACAGACTGTACCTTTATTCGTGTCTCTGGCTCTGAATTAGTACAGAAGTTCATCGGGGAAGGTAACTGGCTAAGAATGGGCAAACCAAGTAGAAGGGTGGAGGGTACAAATCTCAGTAGCTCCTAACACCAGGTTGGCCTCTGCACAGGGGCAAGAATGGTGAGGGAGCTGTTTGTCATGGCACGAGAACATGCTCCATCTATTATCTTCATGGATGAAATTGACTCCATTGGCTCTTCACGGCTGGAAGGGGGCTCTGGAGGGGACAGTGAAGTGCAGCGCACAATGCTAGAGCTGCTCAACCAGCTGGATGGCTTTGAGGCCACTAAGAATATTAAGGTGAGGTGGTGGCCTCAGAACAAGCCAAGGGAAGGCCTGGGGTGACAAGCAAGCTAAAAAAGAATTTAGCTAAACTTCTCCTCTTTCTTTGCTCAGGTTATTATGGCTACTAATAGGATTGATATCTTGGATTCTGCACTGCTTCGCCCTGGGCGCATCGACAGGAAAATTGAATTCCCACCTCCCAATGAGGAGGTCCGTAATGGGCAGTACCTTAAGTGGCTCTGTCTATAGGGGTAGGGAGTGGAGCTCAGGGCTTTTTTTTCCTCCTGTTTCTAGGCCCGACTGGACATTTTGAAGATTCACTCTCGGAAAATGAATCTGACCAGGGGGATCAACCTGAGAAAAATTGCCGAGTTGATGCCAGGAGCATCAGGAGCTGAAGTTAAGGTAATTGAAGTCCAGAGAAATGGGGTAATACCAGGAAGTTCTGAACTAACTCGGGGATGAGGGGGCATAGCAACAGGGCCTCAGCTTCCTTTTCTTGCTCAGGGTGTATGCACAGAGGCTGGCATGTATGCACTACGGGAACGGCGAGTCCACGTCACCCAGGAGGACTTTGAGATGGCAGTAGCCAAGGTACGTTCCTCCACCTTTCTCTCTTTGCTGATGGCGGCTGTGGAGTAGGGGTTTAGGCTTGTGTTCATTGAGTTTGTGGCTTAATGCTCATGTGCTTGCTCTCTTTCTCCAGGTCATGCAGAAGGATAGTGAGAAAAACATGTCCATCAAGAAACTTTGGAAGTGAGGGATGTCTTTTGTGTGGATCCCTTAAATAAAGGTCTGTGGGACAAGCCCTCTAGAACTTCATTACATTATGTTAATGAGTGGTCACACTGTTCAATGACCAGGTATGGACACCACCAGTAAACAAAAGAATTTATTTGGAAATTTCCAAACCTGCCAGAAGTGGCATTTTTGCCAAGCCCTAGGCCCACCCTCCTGACTAAGCTCCAAAGGACAACAACAATCCTCCCAGCCTCCCCTAACCTTATGATGCCCTCCACCACGCGCAACATACCCCTACCTCTGGCTGGGCTAGGGTAGTGGTGTGTCCCCTCCTCTCTGTAGGAGGCTCCAGCTCCCCCAGCCTAAGCACCTGGGTAGAGGGGCAGCCCCCTGGCACCCCAGGAGATGATGGCGGCTATAGCCGCTTGCATAGATTGAGGAAAGAAAATAAGAAAGGAGGCGCCAAATAGGGCTCCTTGAAAAACCCCAGCTTAACCCCTGTACAAAAAAGTGGCTCCCACATAGAAAATCCTGCTCCCCAAATAGTGCAAATACCCAAAAGAGGAAAATACCAGCAGCAAGGCTGGGTTGTAGGAATGGCAAAGAACTTTGGTTTAGAAAGGCTAGGAAGAGTCTGGGCTGGGCCGCCTCCTCTTCCTCACCCAGCTCCTCAGAGCCAGCTCTGGCCCAAAGGGGGAGCCTGTAAACAAGCAAACCCAGCAGCCTTTGGTTCCAAATGTCTGTTACGACAACAAAGCACAGCCTCCAGCAGTCCTACTTGGGCCTGCCTGCAGGGAGCAGAAGAGGCTTCTATCTTGAGAACCCAATTAAAGCCAACGCGAAAAGTAAGTAATAAGGCTTTGGGGACCAAGCAACGAGGAATCCTATCTCTACATTTATGAAAACTAAAGCTGGGGAGTAGAGGTTAACAGGAGACACTGTCACCCCCTCACCCCATCCTACATGTCTTCAGCCATAGCCAGGTCCCAGAAGATGGTCCCCTGCCAGGCTCTGGGGCTGAGATGGAAGGAAGAGATCCCTGAGCAGTTAGGTCAGGCGAATTCCCAACACCTGTTCCAGTTCCTGCCTTCGCTGCTGCACCTGGAGAAGGAAAAGAATGGCTCAGACCTCTGCCACTCACAACCAAAGGAGGACAGACTGGGCAGAGCCTCACCTTGGCAAAGATGTGCCTCCCCACTGCTTCTTGGGCCCAGGGCTGATGGTAGAAAGCAGCCCGTCTCTCTTCCTCAGGATTTCCGATCACATCAGTGATGATCTGCAGAGAGCCCAGAATAACCCCTAAGCCAATCTGCCTTTGGGACTGAAAGAACAGTACTTGGGGATAAAAATCACCCAGAAAGAAGACCATACTTTGAGGTCTCGGCGTTGAGAACGGAGCCATTCCTGGATGAAATCCTGGGGGTCAGTGCTAAAGCTGAGCATGAAATCCCTCTGAGTCTTCAACTGGTTGATGGACTCAATGGTCTCATGGATCTGGGGAAGGGGTGCATGTGTCAGATATGCTCTACCAATGGGGTCTGTTCCCACTTCCTGAGCCAGAGATTTTATCCCCAACATGCTTTAAGTATGAAAATAACAGGCCCACTCTCGTCCTGGGTCCCAGAGAAGGTGGTAGAGGTAGAGGACCTACCTTGACGTCTAAAGAGGCAATCTCCTGCTGGTTAGTGGTAGAGGCCAGAAAATTGCTCATCTGAGCTTTCAATGGGTCATCCACCTCCACATCGATGTCATAACAGGCTGTCTTCTTCTGGTCATTTGGGTCCACACTGCAGGCAGTGCACAGGAAAAGAAGGCTACATGCTTCCCCATGTCCATCATGCCTTCCTGGGGCCCATTCTGTGCAATAAACCAACCTGCTGTGCCTCTAGCTTTTTATCAAGCTATGGGTGAATCTGCTCTTCAAAGAGCTTAAACATCTCCTTCCACTTACCTGATGACGTGGTTGATGACAATGGGATCTGGATGCTGCAGCAATCCAGCCAGTTTCATGGGAATCTCAGAGAAACGGAGTCGGCCACAGCTGAAGATCTGGAAAGAGCACCAAAGGTGGTGATGCCTGAGCACAGGAGGTGTGGACCATTCCAGGGCCAGCAAGGACAGCAGTCAAAATACTGGCCAAGAACTAGCCCATTGGGGGTCCAGGGCAACAGGCAGGGGCTGGGAGGACAAAGGATAGCACCCAGCTAACCTGGCGGAAGTAACGGTTGCAGTTGATGTATTCGCGCTCATGCCCATCTTGCAGCTGATTGTGCTTGATATAAAGCCACAGGGCCTGCATGATGGCAGCCCTTGTCTGTGTGTGCACTCCCAGCAGCCTTGCCAGCCGAGGGTCCAGTTTATACTGGGGAGGCTGGAGATGAACAAAGGGGAGTCAGGAGGGTTCTTGTGGAAAAACAAAGCAGAACAGCAGGGACAGGAAGGGTTAATAGAAACCTGCCCTCCCCCACAAGTCCCTAAGACCCTGGACATGACCCTAAGGGTATCTGTCACCTGATGATCCAGCATGAGCAGGAGGGTGCATTTGACATTTAGGTCCCCTGGTCGTTTCACCTGGAAGCCATCTGTCTCCTGGGTGGTGGGCATTCGGTGCCACTAACAACAAGGGAGGGAATTGTGCTTATCACCAAGGAGAAAGCTCCAAGAGTACTTGACCATTACCCAAATGACCCATCAGCCTGTGGCTGGTGTACTAAGTTCTCCCCAGGCCTGAGAGCCATTCTTACCTCCACCAGGTGGTTGTCAGGTCCATATAGTTCCTTGTCCAACTCAATGACGAGACTCTTAAAAAATGAAGAAAACTTCCTCTTCTGTTTGCTAGGCTGGGAATGGGAAGGGATTATGAGATGGGGGCAAGGGGATGTTGCTGAGTTCTTGAACCAAAAGCCATGTGCTAAGCCCCCAAAAGGAATATTGTTTTGGCCCTGGAATTCAGGGCACTGGTGAATCCTGGTCCCCAAAGAAGCTGTCAGATTGGGTAGAGACCAGTACAGGAAAGATGCAGCCCCACTGCCAGCCAGACACTTGGCTGCCATCTCAGGGAGGTTCCTGTAATAACTACACATCTTCAACCTGGGGCTGGGGGTGGCTCAATGGTAGAGTGCATGTCTGATGTCCTTTCTGTTCTTAGCACCACCAAAACAAAAACTTGAGCGTCTAGTTAGCTGGGGCTGTGTCCTCTCCCTATGGCAGGACTTCTCTGGGAATGCCCATTTCTGGTCCCAATCTTAAACCCATACAGGCTTCCTCCCCTCCAGACACTTCCATCCCCAACTCACATCATCCAGCAGTTTTCCCTCCACTCGGAGTTCCCAGGAAGCCACCTTGTCCCCTGCTGGAGTTCCCCCAGGGGTCCCTGCAGTTCCTGTACTATCACCTTCTGCCTTGCTGGGACTGAATGTATTGGAAATGTAGATCCGAAGCTTTCGCTTTTGCTAAAGAGGGGAAAACAATCAACTAGAGGTGGACAAAAAGTTGGAAATCGTTACCCAATCTTCCCATATGAACTCATTCAGCAATCCATACTGAGTGCTATGGGCCAGGGACCTTGGTAGGCACAGGGAACTGGAAGCAGTAATCCTACACAATTGTATAGGGAAAACAGATGTATCACCATTCATGCCAACACAGTGGGACTGGCAGCATGATGGGTACACACAGGGTGCTGTCAAGCAAGTCAGAAGCCCCTGGGGCTGGGAGTCTGGCTTTGTGGTATAGTGTCGCCTAGCATGTGCGAGGCCCTGAATTTCATCCATAGCACCACCAAAAAAAAAAAAAAAAAAAAACAAAGAAATAAAGACTCCAGCTCATATTTTAAATGAAACCCAAATAACCACCATGGCCCCCCAAATATCCTAGTCTCTTGGAAAGCATTCACCACTCAGGAGACTATTCTTTAGGAGAACAGAGAATGAAAGAAAGCTTCTCTAGAGATGGTAAGGAACTATCCAGGCCGGTGTGATGGTGCACCTATGAGCCCAGCAACTGGGGAGACTGAGGCAAGAGGATCACAAATTTGAGGCCAGCCTAGGCAACTAAGGAAGACCCTCAGCAACTTAGCAAGACCTAGTCCTAAAATTAAAAAAATAAGGCCTAAGGACATAGCTTAGTGGTAAAGTCTCCCTGGGTTACAAAAAAAAAGGAACCACCCTACTACCTTTATCTACTCTTTGGCAGCTTTCAGACTTTTGACCACATGATCCATAACTTTTTTTTTTTTTTTTAACTTTTATGTTTTGTAACTGGGGAGTGAACCCAGGGGCATTTACCACTAAACTACATTCCCAGTCCTTTTTGTTTTTATTTTGAGACAGGGTCTTACTAAGTTATTAAGGCTGGTCTTGGACCTCCTGAGCCATTCATTTACATTTTAAATAATCACCCAGGAGCTGGGGATGTGATTCAATGGTAAAGCATTTGCCTAGCATGTATGAGGCCACAGGCTCAATCCCCATTTCAATCTAGGAAAGAAAAAAAAAGTACTTAATTACTATGACATATTTTTATATTTTATACTATATTCATTTAAAACATGATGACCCCAACACATTAAAGTGAGTTCATGTTCTACTCTTGAGCTGCATCTTGCATGTGAAAAATACTGCTCTAGTTCAATGCAGACCCTCACTTGACCCTGGAAACAAGGTGGAGGCAGGAAAGGGAGGAAAGTATTTTGGGAAAGCCCCGGGTAATCAGAGTTGCACATACTGTCAGAGGCTTTTTGATGGCCTCCTGGATCTCCATCCGCTTGCGAGCAATGGTCTGGTCCAGCTTCCGCTCAAAAGCTAAGAGATCCATGTATGCCTGAGACTCTGGGACAAGCTCCCGAATCTGAGGGTGAAGGAATTCAACAGCTTGCTTCTAGCAGCTCTGGCTCTTTCTTTCTTTCCTTCCCCATCCCTGGGTAGGTGGAGATGGCCTCCCACATGGCCAGACAGTGGGGAGACCTCCCTCCCAACATACTCACTCGCTGAGGTAGAACCTTATCTGCCATCTTCCTCCTCTTTAACCTGGGGAGGACAGAAACTCATTTGAGAGGTTAGCAGTCCAAAGGATTCTTGCCCCCCACCCACCCCTCTAGTCCCCAGCAATCTTCCCCAGGGAGCCAGAGGTCTCCCTCAGTCATTAAAGCTCTTGGGATAGAAGGAAATCTGCTACCACCAGAGCTAGACTAGGCAGAGTAGGAGAAATTAATGGTCTTACCCCCGGCGCTGGGCAGGAATCGGGGGCTGGGCCTGGGGCACAAGCAGGCGTTTTCGGAATGGATCCATCATGGTGGGTGGCATGCCAGGTCGAAGTGGAGCAGCAGTACCAAATGGGGAGCCAGTAGGGGGTCCCACCTGCAAGCCAGCCATGGGCATCCGGCTCCCTGGGGACATGCCAGGCCGCTGGGGAAAGTAAGCCAGTGGGGGTGCATAGGTCAGTGGCAGGAACCTACAAGGCAGGTAGCTTATGCCCTCCATCCCTCTCTGTAGTCAGGCCTGGCCCTGAGCAGCACATGGGGAGCCCCACTGGAGGCTGGGAACAAAGGGGAGCTGGCTCCTAAGTACAGGGTGTAAACCACACCTGCCCTGCCCCTGCAACCGCCTTTGCAGCTGTGCCAGCAAATGAGGCTGCCAGAACCAGGGGTGGGAGGAGAGTGCTGCCTACAGAGGGAAAGGGAGCTTCTCAAGATCCACTGTTGCCTTCCAGCCCCAGCATGCTGTGACCCTGCTCCCTGAGGCTTTGAGGCACTCAGAGGGTCCCACTAAGCACTCCCCTCCTTCTCCCTCCATCTTGAGAAAGTAGCATGGAGGGGAGGCCTGGGGGCCGTGTCACAGTCAGAAGGGTGTAGGAGTCCAGTGTCCACTCCTATCACCAACCTTATAGTGACTGAAAGAGGCTGTCAGTATGTTGGCAAGACTATTAGGCAGAGGTACCCCAGGTGGCAACAACAGGAGGATGGCATGGATGTGTCCCAATAGGTGGAGACAGCCTCAGGCAAAGTACAGAGACCATTTGGTCACAATATGGCCCCTACCCACAACCAGAACTTAATCCTTCTCTCAACTCCCTACTGTTAACCCCTACCTGCCTCTGAGCCAGAAGACCCCAAAAGGGAAGCTATGGCCCCTGGGTAGCCTGTGGGAATGAGAGCAGCTTGCACCTGGCTCTCTGCCCTTGACCCAGGCACCACCTGGCGGCCTAGCTGATGCTGTCTCAATTTAACCCTAGCAATCCCAAACCAGAAAATGGGGATCAGATTATCTTCGGATGTAAGAAGCAGAGTCACAGGGTCAGCAGCCGCAATCTGGATGACAAAAATAGTTCTTTAAAGGCCTGCAGAAACATCTTCCAGGAAAGGCTCAGCTCCCTAGCATTTCTGTAGAGCCCATCTGGGAGTCACCTCCACCCCTCAACCCCCTTTCCATGGCTGCTGCCTGCAAGGCCTGTTTGGCAGCTCTGCTTTGCACACACTGTCCCTGGCAGCTTCCCGGGACTGGCCCCAGGGCCCAGATTATGCAACTAGCACAACCAGCCAACCAACCCAGGCTGGGTGGAGACTCTCACCAAATCAAAGGATCTTTCCCCACCCCAGCATCCTGGAGATGAGTCTCCCCTGCCTCTTAATGGAGCACAGAACCGATGTTCCCAACAGTTGCCCTGCCCCTGCAACTCTGATTTGTGACCAGATACGAAATGAAGAAAACTTGGCCCAGAGACATGGGGAAGGAAACAGGGGAAGTACAGTAGGAGAGTTTGTAGAATGAGGAGTTAAAATAGGGGGCCCTGGGACCTCAGGAGTCCTGCCACAGTCTCTCCCTGTCAGGAAGAGATTCATCAGAGCTGTTGAAAGGCAAAAAAACAGCCTGGTTTTTCTGCCTTAATGAGCCATAGCAGGAGATCACAGAAGAACGGGGTGGGGGCGGGGACTGGACTCAGTGTGGCCACAGCTGTAAACCCAGACCAGCTCTCTCAGGTTTGAGTTTTTCCCAATGCTTAGGACAAAGGTAAGAAACAATTGCAAAGAGTGAGCTAGTGAGATGTGGTCCCCAGGAAACTACTCACTAGGGTTCACAAAACCTGGAGCACCACACAGTTCTCCTGGGCAGGTGCTCAGGTAACAGGAAATCCCAAGACTAGGCAGCACAGGAGGACCTATAATAGGCACCATTTTATTAATCTGGAGATATCCTCTAGACTTCCTGGGCTCTGAGCCTCTAGCTCACCCAGGGCCCCCAGAGGAAGGCTGCTTACAGTTCAAGTCCTGGCTCAGCCTTGCAAAGCTCCACACCTGAGCTTGAAAGCACCAGTAATTCCTTCCCCTTCAAAACAACTCAAGTTTTTTTTTTTTTTTTTTTTTAACAACTCAGCCTCCCAGCCTCCCTACCTGCATCAGAGTTAGGTTGGTCTGGTTCATTCATCTGAAACCCAGAAGGTACAGCAATTTATTTTCCTTTGGTCCAGCACCCATCCATATTCCAAGCTTGACAACCACCCAGGAGAACAGGGCAGGAGGCTGGGCTACAGCCTCCAGGGGAGCAATCTAGGGCTCTGCTCCATCCAAAACCTGTGCCCCTAATACACCTGGTGGTGGCTGGACCTAAGAGCCTCAGCTGGAGAACATGATACCCCAACCCATGAATAGAAAGTATTTTGGGGCTGGGGATGTGGCTCAAGTGGTAGCGCACTTGCCTGGCATGCGTGCGGCCCGGGTTCGATCAGCACCACATAAAACAAAGATGTTGTGCCCACTGAAAAACAAAAAAATAAATATTAAAAAATTCCCTCTCTCTCACTAACTCTCAAATTCTCTCTCTCTCT